ATAAATTTTTAATATTTAAATAAATATTGAGTATCAAAATCTTGTAATTATGACTGTTTAAGTCAAGTATAGGGTATGGGCAGTACTTGACCCATACCTACCCATTCTCACCCCTACTAGCTTAGGGTATTTTGGGCCAGCTCGGTTCATTTAATTTATACCTCGCAATTTTAAAACCAAACTCGAGATTTACTAATTATTAAAATTTTCTTCCATCAGTCAAGAAACAAAAAATAGATAGACTGCTCATTTCTATTAACTGCTCTACAGGCGCACGATAACTTCTTTTTGCTATCGTACGCAGGCATGGCGGTTTGCTGAAAATGCCGGGAATGGGTGGTAGAGGTAGGAAGAAGAAGGATGCCCCACCTAGGGGAGGTCCATCGAAGGAGGTTACCGGTACAAAAAGTGTTGAGAATGATGCTAAGAATAGTCTGATTGAGGATGCTGTTAAGGAGCAAGTAGAGGAAGTAAAGCTCGTTGCAAGGGATCTTGAGCTTATGGGTCTTGTGGTAGAGGAGGTGGGTGAGTTGCAGTTAGATCCTAGGGATACTGGGGTGGATGAGGCGACAACAATTGAGTCTAGAAAGGAGGCTGTGGTAACCCAGGTTCTCACTAATTTAGAGGAGGGGAAGAGGGAAGGTAAAAGGGTAGTGGGTTCAGATTCCCAATCTCCAGAATCCCCTGCTAAGCTTTTAATTGGTACCAATGGGGCTAGTTCTTCGGGTGTAAAGACTAAGATTCCTAGAGTTCGGTGGATTGATTTGGTTGATGGAGAGAAGGATGAAGTACTGACTCAGCCACTACGGAAGCCGGTTAGAAGCTGGTCGTCGGTAGTGCAAGGAAACAAGGATATTAGGAAGGGATGGAAGTTGCAGTATGTAAAACCTCAAGACCCCTCTGGTGCTGTGGTGATTACCGAGGATGAATGGTATCAGGGTTCCAAGGTATGGGAGAATGCTTTAGTTGGTTATGTCCTTGGATGCAAGTGTCATTTCAAGGATATGGCTAATTATGCTAATAATAGATGGAAGGAATTCCAAGTACCAAAGGTTTTTTCACTTAAGAATGGTGTATTTTTGTTTGATTTTGCGGATGGGGAGGCGAAGCAGGCTGTCTTAGAAAAGAGATGGACTTTTCAGGACCATCCTCTAATTTTGAAACAATGGACCCCTAAGTTTGATATTGATAACCTTGATGTTAGCAAGATACCCGTGTGGATTCAGTTTCCCGATTTGCATTTGAGTCTTTGGAATCCTAAAAGCTTAGGCAAAATGGCCAGTTACCTGGGTGTTCCTATTGCTACTGATGCATTGACTGCTAAGAGGCAGCAAGTGTCTTTTGCTAGGATGCTAGTGGAAGTTGAGATTATGGAGGAGTTACCACAGGTGGTACTTGTAGTTGGGCCCAAGGGTATTTTCCAGCAACCAATAATCTTTGAATGGTCCCCAATGCGATGTGGAAAATGTGGTAACCTTGGACATGAGGAAAGGAATTGTAAGGCTAAAATTAAGAAGATGTGGGTAGTTAAAGGTTCTGTGGAACAGAAGCAGCTTATTAAGCCTAGTATGCAGCAAGCTGATGCAGCTATGGTACAGGTTGAGCCTAATATACTTAGTGAGGTTGTTTTCCAACAGTGCAAGCAAGATGAAGCACTAGAGTCTACGGTGGTGGTTGATAAGGAAATGCCTATAATGGAATTTGATCATGTCAAAGGAACTGTTGTTGATGATGGTAATGTGACAGCTTTGTTTCCGGAATTGTTTTCAAGATAGGCTGGTGAAGAAGCTGTTGGTGGACAAGTTCTTGCTCAGAAGGATGGGATGCAAGCGGTTGGTGGAGGTTTTTTTTTTCCCTCTCTTAAATAAATGATCACTGTTGCTTTTTGGAATGTGAGGGGTTTTAATGACCCTTCTCATCAAGTAGAGGGTAGGAATTTTTTATTGACAAATAATATCTCAATTATGGCTTTTCTAGAGACTAGAGTGAAATATGAGAATAGTAGTAGAATAGTTAAAAAATTAGGAGATCAATGGGGATGGTTGCATACATATAATAGTGCTTATAATGGTAGGATTTGGTTGGTGTGGGATAAACTAAGGGTGGAGGTGACTAAAGTTACACAAGGAGATCAATTGTTACACTGTCATGTGGTGGTTTTAAATTCTAGGGTGAAGTTTCTATGCATTGTTATATATGCTTTTAATACTCCAAGTGAAAGGGAGTCTTTATGGCAAAGTCTTGATCTTTTGGGTGCTTAAAACCAGCCTTGGATTGTATTAGGGGACTTTAATACTGTGCTTAAGTAGGAAGAGAGATGTAAGAAAGGAAAGAAAATGCCTAGTGATACCTTTGAACTTCAGAACTTTGTGGACAAATGTGAGGTATTTGATTTAAAGTTTACTGGTTGTTACTACACTTGGTGTAACAATCAATATGGTGAGGCTAGGCTTTATTGCAAATTGGATAGGGCTTTAGTGAATGTTGCTTGGCTTACAAATTTTCCTATGTCTGCTGCATGCTTTTTAAATGCTGGTATCTCGGATCATTCTCCATGTGTAATTACAATGGAGGTTGTTTCTAATATTTTGCATAAGGCATTTAGATTTTGTAATATGTGGACGAAGGATGAGGAATTCTTGAATTTAGTTATGTATGTCCTAGTGCAAAAACTCAAGGCAGTTAAATTGCAAATGAAGAAGCTACATCGAGCTAAGTTTGGAGGTTTGCAGCAGAGGGTTTCTTGTGCAAAGGAAGAGCTTATTAAGAAACAAGAGGCATTGCAGTCTAATCCTTTTAATGATCATATAATACAGGAAGTGAAGGAAGCTACTTGAGAATATGAAAGGGTAGTTGAAGCTGACCTAATGTTGGCAGCACAAAAAGCTAAAGTTGATTGGCTTAGAGAGGTTGATACCAACTCTTCATATTTTCATGCAATAGTGCAAGAGAAACAACACAGAGGGAATATTGCTAGTTTGACTACTGAAGCTGGCAAAAGAATTACTCAAAGGGATGACATTGGTCAGGAATTTGTTAATTTCTTCCAAAATTTATTTGGTACCTCTGTTGCAGGGGTTCCTTCTATTGATTCTGCTATAGTTAAAAGAGGAAGGTTACTTTTAAATGAGGAGAGCCTAAGATTGTGTAGGCCCTTTAATGAAGAGGAGATTAAGAATGCCCTTTTTACTATACTTGATAGTAAATCACCTGGGCTGATGGTTTTACTTCAAGTATTTTCAAAGCAGCTTGGGGGATTGTTAATGTAGATTTTGTTGCAGTAGTATTAAATTTTTTTTCATAGTGGGAAGCTACTTGGGTAGGTTAATGCTACCAATATTAGTGTTGTTCCCAAGACAAATTGTCCTAATACTGTGGGTGACTTTAGACCTATTTCGTGTTGTAACGTTACTTATAAGGTAATTACAAAGTTGATAGCTCAGAGGATGACTAAGGTACTGAAATTTCTAGTTAGTGCTAATCAAGCTGCTTTTGTGAAGGGGAGATCTATCACAACAAACATCCTTGTTTGTCAGGATCTAGTCAGGAATTATCATAGAAGTGGGGGTTCCCCTAGATGTTTGATGAAGATTGATTTGAGGAAAGCTTATGATACAGTGCATTGGGCTTTTTTGGAGAGTTTGTTAATTGAACTGCAATTTCCTCTTGAGTTTGTAAGATGGATCATGGTATGTGTGAGTTCAGCTAGATTTTCCGTGGTATTAAATGGGCAACCTTATGGTTTTTTTCAAGGGAAAAGAGGACTTAGGCAAGGTGATCCAATGTCCCCCTATCTCTTTGTGCTTTTAATGGAATATTTGACAAGAATATTGCAAGAGTTAGAGGGAAATAAGGATTTTCAATATCATAGTAGGTGCAGGAAGTTAAAGTTGACTCACTTAATTTTTGCTGATGATGTGATGATTTTTTGCAAAGTTGATAAGGCTTCTCCTCTTATTATTAGAAGTTTGTTTGATAAATTCTCTATGGCTACTGAACTCGTTATTAATAGCTCAAAAAGCCGAATGTTTTTTGGAGGTGTGTCAGATGTATTGAAAAGGCATATTCTAAATCAAATAGGGTTCAGTGAAGGGCAATTACCTGTGAAATATTTGGGTCCACCCCTTATTTTCGCTAAGCTTTCTACTATTACATGCCAACTAGTGGTGGATAAAATTAAACATCGTATCTGTTCCTGGGCTTCCAAATTTCTTTCTTACACTGGCAGAATTCAATTGGTGAACTCTGTATTGTTTCATATCCAAGTTTTTTGGAGTGGAGCTCTCTTGCTACCCAAGAAGGTTATTAAGAGTATTGATGCTGCTTTTAGGAATTTTGTTTGGACAGGAAAGTGGGATCAATCAGCAATGGCACTTGTGGCTTGGTCAGATATTTGTGTTCCTAAAACTGAGGGAGGCTTAGGAGTTAAGCAGTTAGCTAGTTGGAATCGAGCTACTTTGTGCAAGTATATTTGGCTAATTTGTAATAAACAACAAGACCTTTGGGTACAATGGGCTCAAGTAGTTCTACTAAAGGGGGAAAGCATATGGAAAGTAAAGTTACCAAATGATTGTTCTTGGTCCTGGAAGCAGATTTTGAAGATGAGAACTAGTATTAAAGACCAAGTTTGGGTTCAAATTGGAGATGGCAGGCAGACATCTCTTTTTTATGATCTGTGGTTGGAAGGTGGAAGAATATGCGATCGGGTACAAGTTAGAGAAGAGTTGATGGCATGGGGGCATGGCAGTGTTGTGGCTAAATGGTGGGATGCTGGGGCCTGGCATATGCTGGACAGTTTTGTTTGTAAGTACCCTTCCCTTGTCCAGTTAATATCATCTAAAAGTCTCCAAGATAGGGAGGATAAGGTTGTGTGGAGGCCTAATGTAACTGGTTGCTTTTCTATTGCTAGTTGCTATAATTTGTTAAGAGTTAAGCAACCGAAATCTAAAGTTAATTTTTTTTATTTTTTAAGGTAAATAAATATTTTTTTTAATTTATTCCTATCATTATTTATTCATTTTAATTAATTATATAACCCTAAAAAAAATTTATCTTTTATTTCTTTTGAGAGATATTATTATTTTTTGTACATCTAAATAAATTATATAAGAGAAGATAATCATTTAATTTTCCTAAATCCCTCCTCATCTGACTCAAGATTTAAACTTGATATCTCAAATTTTGAATCTCAAATTTTGAATCTCAAACTCTTAACCATTGACTCATCCCTCTCAACGGTTTTTTAAAGATATTATATAGATAAATAAAATTATTTCTTTTTTTCTAGAAAGCTCTTTCTTTATTTAAAACAACTATTGTTTTTTTACTCTATCCCAAATTAAGTCATTTTGTTATTTTTATGATAGATAAATATTTTTTTTATTTTAACCCTAT